TACGCTTCTGGTATAACTTCCTATTCTGTGACGCTACTCACTAACGGTTTGCTGACGCATGCGTTCGTTGGTCGCGCACGCTCTCAAATTTTCCCGCGTGGAATTTCTCTGCGTGGCGGCACTTCGCGAATATTTCCGATCTTCTATTAAGGGTTCTATATATATATAGAACAGAAAATATATATATATATATATTGGATGAATTATAAGACAGCTCGTAACAGAACTAACTATGAATTAAGGAAAATAAAGCGCCAGTATTATCAAACAAAGTTAAGCGAAAGCTCTGGGGATTCCAAACGTACTTGGGCTGTTCTGAATAGTCTAGTTGGTAAACCTTCAAAGAATACAGAAATAAACGAAATTAAGGTTTCCCCGAATAAGATTATTACCAGTGGTGAAGATATAGCTAATCATTTGAATCAACATTTCTCTGAAATTGGCGTCAAGCTTTCGTCTGTAGGAACACAAAATTGCAACGTTCGTCCTGAAATGTTTCTAAAACAATCGAAAGAAACATTCAGAATACATGATGTGGACTCAGACAAAGTTTTGAAATTACTAAAGAATTTAAAAACTACAAAAGCATGTGGTTTAGACAATATCCCGAATAGATTATTGAAGGTCGCCGCGCCGTTTATTTACTTGCACCTTGCTAGTCTTTTTAATTTATCAATTAAGGTAGGCATTTTCCCAGCTGAATTGAAAAAGGCCAAGATTTCTCCAATTTTTAAGAGTGGTGAACGAGATATTTCTGACAATTATAGACCTATATCTGTCCTAACTAGTATTGCTACAGTGTTTGAAAGACTTATTTATGACCAGCTGTATGCATACCTTATACATAATAACTTAATTGATTCTCGGCAATCGGGATTTAGATCGCTTCACTCAACAATGACTGCACTATTAGATATGAATAATGACTGGTGCTTTAACATTGACAGAGGGATGTTAAACGGTGTCGTCTTCTTAGACTTAAAGAAAGCTTTTGACACCGTTGATCATCTTATACTTGTGACCAAATTAGAATATTTAGGATTGGAAAAAATAGCGGTTGATTGGTTTCGATCCTATCTGACTGACAGGTACCAAAGATGCTTTGTCAATGGGTGTTTGTCAGATGAGATTAAAATTACTTGTGGTGTTCCCCAAGGCTCTGT